GTGCTCAGCTAAAGCACAGCCATAAGCAGCACCCGCCCCACTCAGCTAAGAACGGGGAAGACAGTGCCTCAGGAGCTGCCTAATGGCAGCTGGAAACTGCATGCTCCCACCTTGGGGCTCGCTCCCTGGGAACAGGTTGTATACCCCGGCAGGTCAACACTGGGTCCCCATGGAGCCTTTCCGGGTTCTAACCTCACATTCCTCCTTCCCGCTCATTTTAGACACCAGAGTCTGTCATTGGCCTCCCTAGGGTCCTGACACCAGCCCCTGCCATGGGCCCTAGGCTGGAGGGGCCCTGCCGTGATGCAGGGGAAACAACATGACATTGGTATCAGCTGAGGCTAAAGAGAAGCTGGAAACTGGCTCTGAGACCGCCCCTGTTCCTAAAATCTGAGATTAGGCCAGGTGCAGTTGCTTACGCCTGTCATCCCAGCACTTTGGGAGGCTGAGGGAGGAGGATCACTTGAGCTTGGGAGACTTCCATGAGCCATGATCCTGCCACATGGGAGCCATGATCCCGATTTCCAGCCTGAGTGGCAGAGCGAGACCCCGTCTCGAGCATCCCAAAATCCCTGAGATTAGCAAGTGTTAGGTGTTAGAGATGTTCTGGAATCCAGGTGAGACTTCCTTCTGGAAGTACCCCAAGGGTGGGAGAGAATGTGGATGGGTCAGAGCTCTCCTCCTTCCCCTGAAGTCACCTCTCAGCAAGTTCCACGGGGTGGGCAGAAGGGGCTGGATAGAGGTCCCCAGGGAGAGGCAGAGGGAATAGCAGCTCTGTGGGGCTGGAGCCAGCTTCGATCTGGAAGGGACTCTGGGAATCGGCCCCCAGTGGGATTCCTGACCAGCCCTTCCCTCCATCTTCATACTTTCCTGATAATGGGATGCACCTGTGTGGCACTCACCATGGCTAAATGTTTTCCTGTTTGGGGAAAACAATAGAAGAAACGCCTTAGAGAGGAAGGCTGGGGGTGATGAAGACGGAGTCTCAAAGAAAAATGGGCTGCAGGCTTCGGTGCCAGCAGGAAATAAAAACAGCAGCAGGAGGATGTGGCCTTGGCAGCCTCTGGTCACATATCTGGGCTGAAGTGGGCAAGGGTGGGGCTGTGCCCTGGGTGTGACCCTGAGGCCACCTGGGGCCTTAGGTATGGCCTCACCCACGTGCTCACCAGGAGCAGAGGCCCAGGCCAAGCAGGTCTGGCCGGGTGTACATACCTGCCCCCAGGTGCCAGTGACGAGGACACCTGCCTCAGCCTCTCTGTGAGATCCCCCAGGGTTGGAGTCCATTCTCCGAGACTCTGGAAAAAGTCCACTCTGGACTCTGAGGCCAGAAGAGGATCTGGCACATGGTTTTTCCCCCTTCCCAGCTGGGCTGCCCTGCTGCCGAGTGGCCTTGGGGCTGGTTTGGGGCCAGCAGGAGACCCTGAGTGTGGGAAGGTCCCACTGACTGAGTCGTCAGCCTCTGTTCCACCTCACCAACCCCTCCCGCCCCACTCAAGTCTCTCCTGAGTCAGGGGAGACTGACTGGGGCTGTTTTTGTTAAGGAATGTCATTCTGTGGAAAAGAATTATCTTTTGAAACAAAGATTTTTCAATAATCACAAGCTTACTGAAAAATTGCAAGGACACTACAAAGAACCATTTATTTTCCATGAACCATTTGAGACTAAGCGGCTGACCTGATTCCCCTGCAGCCCTGAATACTTTCATGTCTGCTTCCTGAAACTAGGGCACTTTCTTCATCCGGAAGAACCGTCAATCCTTGGGCCTATCCTCCTAGCCTCGGGCCGCTCAGGTCCCCAGTTGTCCCAGTGACACCATCATGAGTCCTCTGGGCCCCTTCCATGCCTGACTCCTATGTCCTGTCCTTAGGGACGCGCTCAGGCATCCCTCTGTGGGTGGGTCACAGTCAGGTCGTGCATCTCCACGCGAATCTCGTGGAAGGGGCTGAGTTTGCATTGTCCCCCAGGGTGCACGGCTTCACCTGCCAGTTAGGCAGAGGCTGGCTCTGAGCTTGGTGCAGGGCTCCTGTGGCTTCTCCAAGGGGAGCTCCTCTCACCTTTCGCAACTGCACACGTCTCATGGAGAACGCTCGGACACTAAATATCCTGTTTTTCGCCAAGCTTTCCACTTATTTCTGTACCTCTCTGTGGCTCATGGTTTTCTGTTCTACTCCACGGATGAGTTGTCCCATTGCTGCCTAGTGAGTCACTCAAAACGCCCTGGCCCCAGCCTTGGAGGTCAGGGATCAGGTGCCTCGGCTCAGGCGCCCCAGTGAGGTGGGGTCGGGTGTTGGCCAGGGCTACAGTCTCAGACCCTGCCTCAGAACTCAGTTCCCTGCCAGGGGGGACTCTGCATAGGGTCATTTGTCACATGGCTTCCCTAGAGCAGATGATCCACAAGAGAGGGAGGGAAAGAGACAGGGTGGGGGAGCCATAGAGGAGAAACGGAGGGAGAAATGAAGGTGCAGAGACCACACCTACCTGCTGCCCCCCCCAACCCCACTGCCTGACACCAGCAGTGACATCTCATCCCTCCTGCCACCCCCATATGCAAAATGCATGTCAGAGTCTGTGGACATGTCCTTCAAACCATTGTGTCACTGTTTATTTTGATGCTCAAAATGCCCCAGATTTGCCAGCGAGAGGCCCTCAACACTGGCTCCCGTGCCGTTTTGCACGTCCCTGTCACTCTGAGCACGTCCTCACTGTCGAGCTGATCCTGTCCTTCTCCTTCCCAGCCTTGAGCTGCACTTCTTAGAGTCACGCTGCGTTCCTGTCCTGGCCGAGCTCCACATGTACCTTGCTGTGGGTGTCGTTGCTCCCAGGCCCTCCTGGTGAACTCAGTTCACAAGTACACACGTGTCTGTGCGTTTATACCACGCAGGTGCCGCGAGCCTCCCTGTGCAGTCTGCGTCTGTGTTTATTCATGCCTGCTGTGCACTTCATACCAACAGCTCCAGTTCCCACCCAGTGAAAAGGTTCCTGTTGGAAATGTCTGCCTCTCCACACCTGAGGAGCCTGGCATCCACTCTTCCTAATGTATTTTCTTGTTTGGTCACTTTTGTGGGGTCGCCGGCCTCCAGTGGTGCTTCCTCTCCCCCACAGCTATGACTCCTTCTGTGCCCGTCCCTGCCCGAAGCCAGGGCGCCCTCCTGCATGGGCACTTCCACCCTACTGTGGAGGCCTGGCTGGTCCAGCCTGACTTAGCGCCCTTAGGACTGAGGTGCTCAGGGAGCGGAAGCGCAGGTGGCTTTGGAATCATCCTTCTCCCGTGTTTTCATGTATTTGCGGTCACTACAACTGCAACCTAGCACGAGCAGCCCTTCAAAAGGGATCTCTTTCATCAGAAGGAAGCTGGTTATTCCATGAATATTCTCAGTGAGCTCATGATGTTTCCTGGAGACCTTGGGGCTCTTTTACAAATGCTCTCAAAGGCTCTGCTTGGTAAATCAGTCTTAGAATTTGCCAGGCATGAGTGCGTACTTAACTGGCCCATAATTACAAAATGCATGTCTTTCCTCCATCCATAACTCAGGTGTGGCCCAGTTCCCCATCTTTGGGCAGCCCCAGACTCACAGATGTTTCAGAGGATGCCAAGGAAAATGTTCCCCGAAGTTCCTTGTCCCCACTTCCGAGCATGGAGATAAGCAGGAGCCCCTGCCCGTCTGCTGCCAGCCCTGGGGGTGCCAGGAGCTCGGAGAGCCCCAGGGTCCGCCCAAGGGGCTGCTCTGTTTGGTTCTTGCCGTGGACTCTGTGGGAGGCAGGTCAGGCCTTCGTGGTGGTGGTCTGCCTTTGCCTTGCCTGGCAAACCCCTGCTGTGCCATCTCTGAGTGGGCTCCATGGATTTTACAGTGGGATGATGAACGTGGCCCGAGTGGATGAGCCAGTGATGGGAAAGCACTTTAGATAAGGGATGTGAGCCACCGTGGTCTGATCCCAGCGATGCTGACAACATGACTGCCTTTGCAGATTGAGTCTGGATTCTTCCACGAGAGTGACGTCAAGATCGTGGCCAAGTCCATCCGTGACCGTGTGGCTTTGATCCAGTGGCGGCGGGAGAGGATCTGGCCTGCGTTGCAGCCCAAGGAGCAGCAGGATGTGGGCAGCCCAGACAAGGCTAGGGGTCCGCCGGTGCCCCTGCAGGTCCAGGTGACCTACCATGCACAGGCTGGGCAGCCTGGGCCACCAGAACCTGAGGAGCCGGAGGCCGACCAGCACCTCCTCCCACCCACGTTGCCGACCAGCGCCACCTCCCTGGCCTGTGAGTGCTCAGGGGTAGGGTGGCCATGGACGCCCCTCCCACCTACCCTGCAAAAAGCAGCTATTGGGCAAAGAAAAATGAAGTCCTCTCCTTTATTGGAGTGCTTTGTGAGGAAGGGGGTCAGCATAGCATCCCCTTGGAGGAGACATGGTGCAGCTCTGAGCTGTCCTTACATAGCGTGGGTGATTGCTTTTAGATGTAGGTGGTTCCCAGCAGTCCTGGCCGGGTGCCTGTGTCCCATGACAGGCTCGCCTTCTGCCAGCACCCTTGGTGCCAGGGCATGTCATGAACTTCACAAGAGAGCAACTTCCAAGGTGGTGGGGCCAGCAGACCTAAGCACTGGGATATGCAGGGCCTGATTCTGTGACCAGCCTGGGGCCTGTCCCCAAAGCCCACCAGACAGGGTGTGGACTCTATCTAGGTATGGGTGAGCCTTGTTTCAGGGACGGGATTGGGGCTTTCTTAGCATTTCCCAGTGATCTGTAACCAGAAGGGGATTAAGGCTCACTAAAGTCCATGTTCTCAGGACAGATGGGGACAAATGAGCCCTGTGCCAGCAGGCTCTGATGGAGCCAGTTCCATCCCACGCTCTGCTATGGATCTGTGGACTTGGGGCAGGTTCCTTATCCTGTCTGAGAATGACAGTTCTGGCCCCTTGTGGGGAATGTGAAGTCCAGGTGAGGTGCCAGCAGCAGCTGCCTGGTGGGGCATCTGTCCTGGGGACAGAGTGTGCTGTTTGCTGGCTTGGCTTGTGAGTTGTCATGGGAATCTCCCATCCCCAGTCGTGTCTCCCTCCGAAGGCAGAACCTTTCAGACCTTTTGTACATTTTCAGCAAGGTGTTACTGATGAATTGGCAGGAATCACTATGGATCAAGCTTTATCTAAGACCATTTAGGGAGAATCTAGTATCTTCTGCACATATAGGCAGAAAAGTTCCTGCCTGTGCCCTCAACATCTTAAGAACTCAGCAGTGAGCTGAGGACAGAGGAACGAACATGGCTTTGTTCATTCTGTGAATAAGCATGAGATAGAATGACAAAGCCAAGGGACCTGTCCGGGCCAATATTTCAGATCATTCATGTGCAAAGACTGAAATAGTCTGTTTAATTTATTTAATATGCACATCCTTCATTTATCATTGAAATGGCCACGTCTTCAAAGTAGGCTATTTAAATTCAAACAAGCCGTCATCTTGTCGAGATGGTTTGCCTATTTATGTCACAAACCTGCACAGGTTTGCTTTGGAGAATAAAATTGGTACATTATTGCTCCATTTTCTGACACATCTAAAAAATTAAAGAGCACAGACTTTTTGTACGAAAAAATTCTCTACATCTGACACAGCACTACACACTTTTAAATTGTTAATTGCTGGTTAAACAATTTCTAGGATGGGAGTTTAAAAATCTCCTTTTTTTGAACTTTGGGGAGACAGTTTGGGGATCTAGAAACATGTTTAGCTTGTGGTCAGATAGAATTCAGGTTTGATCCACTATGGGAAAATCAGATGGAGCCATTGAGCATCTGATGCTTGCAATTCAAGTGTGGGTTCTCTCTGCAGACAGGTCCACTTCCAGGCCGGCTGAGAAGGATTCTGTATGCTTTGTGCAGAGGCCATGGCCACGCTTCTCAAAAACACTTTTATTCATTGATTGCAGTTTCTTTATAAAGTAGGTAACATCGCCACATGGTATGAAATTCAAAAAGGCCAGGAGGTAGCAAATCACTTCATTGTCGTCCCTACAGGCAACAGATGCTACCAATCCCTTAACAGTCCTTCTAGAAATAGTGGACACATATAGCCTACCACCACACATGTGAACATACATAGGCACACATAGAACACACACAAATACATAGGCATGCCCACACATGTGGACACACACGTATGTGTACACACATGCACACAGACCTGCATGCCCCACATGTGGGTATACAAATACCCACCCTGCATGCACATGACATGTGTATGTACACACATGTGAACACCCCACACAAATGTGAACACATTCACAGGCACACATGTAGGCACTCATACATGAATATGTACATGCACACTCCCATTCACACATGCGTGCATGTGTACATCCCTGCATCCCCCTCTGCTTCATAATGGATAGTACCCCATACAGCCTTCTGCACCTTGCTCTGGGAGGTGCCGGGTAAGAGTGGGAACCCCATAATCCAAGAAGAACCTGGTCTACGTAACAAGATGGGCAAACAGACACACATTAGCATGTTGGAAGATGCAGCAATATGTCAGTTTTCACAGTTTTCCCTTGTTGTGTTTTCTTGAGCTGCCCACCAAGGGTCCTGACCAAGCGGAGGTTTTCTTGGTGACTCCATTTAAGCAGCTGATGACTGTGGTAGCACATTTGCCAATAGGTTCAAAAATGTCTTCCAAAATGTTTAATTGTGTAAGTAATGAACACATTTGCTTTTGTGTGTGTGTGTGTGTGACAGAGTCTTGCTCTATTGCTGAGGCTGGAATGCAATGGCGCAATCTCAGCTCACTGCAACCTCCACCTCCTGGGTTCAAGCGATTCTCCTGCATCAGCCTCCCTACTAGCTGAGACTACAGGCATGCGCCACCACGCCCATCTAATTTTTATGTTTTTAGTAGAAATGGGGTTTCGCCCTGTTGGCCTGGCTGGTCTCAAACTCCTGACCTCAAGTAATCTGCCCGTCTCAGCTTCCCAAAGTGGTGGGATTACAGGCATGAGCCACTGTGCCCCACCCATATTCACTTTATTTTTAATTTTTAAATTTTTATTTGAGATGGAGTCTCACTCTGTCACCCAGACTGGAGTACACTGGCACAATCTCGGCTCATTGCAACCTCCACCTTCCAGGTTCAAGCGATTCTCCTGCTTCAGCCTCCCAAGTAGCTGGGACTACAGGTGCGTGCCACCACGCCCGGCCAATTTTTTTTTTTTTTGTATTTTTAGTAATGATGGGGTTTCACTATGTTGGCCAGGCTAGTCTCAAAACCCTGACTTCGTGATCCGCCTGCCTCGGCCCTCCAAAGTGCTGGGATTACAGGCATGAGCCACCATGCCCAGCACATATTCACTTTAAATATGTAAAATGTGGGCCAGGCATGGTGGCTTCTTTTGGGAGTGAGAGGTGGGTGGGTCACTTGAGCCCAGGGGTTCGAAACCAGTCTGGGCAACATGGTGGAACTCCATCTCTACAAAAGGCAGAAAAATTATCCAGGTGTGGTCGTGTATGCCTGTAGTCCTAGCTATGTGAGAGGTCAAGGCTGTAGTGAGCCGTGATCACACCACTAGACTCCAGTCCAGATGACAGTGAGACCCTGTCCCCCTCAAAAAAAAAAAAAAAAATTCACATCATAACCCCTAAAAGTT